TCAAAAGTTTGCCCGATCGACAGCGTTTCAGTTCACCCTGGTGATATGAAAAACACTAGTGAAAACATATCACCGCGAGTATCGGTTTTTTCACCGGCTCTTACGCCACTTCACGTTACAATGGGTGACGCTTCACACAACATTAACAACCATACAACAGCTATTTAATTCAACCAATACCACTCCTTGGCAAATTCTCATAATATCAACCCCATTGACGATCCTCTCTACTTGCACAATTATAGTAAATCTCATCCTCTAGCCTAGCTACATTTCAACCACATTTCCATAAACGAATCGACCCTCCCACCGACCTTACCAGGCCTCGTATAGAGCTAGGGGTCTCCTTCAGCACAACACTATCGCCTCCTAACCACTCGGGGACTTCCCCCACTCTAGCACTTCTCGAAAGCATCGCTGTAGTCCCATCATCAGCTAGGGGCACAACAGCGAACATAATCATATAATCTCGAGTACTCACTGGCCAGATCGACTTAGCCGCAGTATGCCTACAACAAAAACTCGTAAAACCAATGTTGGAGGAATCGAAATCCCATTTCACGTGAAATACATCACGCGTTTTACGCCGTGTTCAATGTGAAATGTGAGATATGTTTTCCACTGCTATTTTTCATATGATAAAAACCTCAATGCATCTATGTTACATTCATAATACCATCATGCCCAACCAGTGTTGTAATATATGTTCGCTTCCCTCAGCCGACGCTAGGAGTTTCCTCACTGATTATACAAGTTTATATACGAAGTAGAGTAGAATTGTACATAAATCACTCAAAATTTCCAAAAAATTTTCTCAGAATTTCATTATTGTCACCAACATGTGTGGTTAACAATGTGCATATTTTCTCACACTGTCCCCAACAAACGACTAGTTGATATCTAATCCTAAAACGAATATAAACTCCCCCTACTTCAGCACACAGCCGTTGTCCTCAGCCACCACCTTCTGGTACGCCATAGTATCATCGCATCTCCCATACCGATCAATATCACTGAGTGCATCCACCTGAACTCCCACACACATTTACCCAAATCGATCAACTGGGCGCGCGCTTTCTCACAATATCAGCCGTCCTAGCGTGCAGTCCACGACAGGTCAATGCAAAAGCAGGCCATTGATTATCAGGGAACAAGTCGAATGTGGAATATACCTGCACCAATGAGTTCAATTTCCGTGAAAAAATGAGTAAAAAAACTACAGCAAAAAAACATACAGTAACAGTGTAAGAAAAATGTGTTCATATACACCAACTATGCATGGTGATGATGATAGGGGGAAAAATTTTCGACGATTTTTTTCCGAAAACTCCATTACTACTCTGCAATTAGGATCCTTCACCTCCGTCTCGACACTCCAATTCACCCCATTAGTGAGAATACTTTCTGATATACCCACTTGTCGTCTGCCATCACGGTCATCACCAAGGAGAGCACGCGGAAACGACGCTGAAGAACCGAACATATAAAATCACAACAGTAACAATACTCAACGTCATCATATGTGTGTAGGCAACCTCGCGTAAAACGCATATTATCAACAAGAAAAATTCTGATAAAATTTTCGGAATTTCTCTTCGATTTTCATAAACTTTCACCGAAATTTACGCGTAAACTTCTATAATCAACAACATATTTCCCCCTACTATCAAATTGCTCCTGGTGCGGTATGGTAGACAAAACCTCATCAATGAGCTGATTAATCAACGCCTTCATCGCTTTCAATGGTAACCTGTCGAGCTCCTCTCCTCGTGTGTCGGCGGTCGGAGACAACTCTGAGATCAGATGATGAAATTCCAAAACCTCAGCGAAATGAAAATACGATATGCATGAGAACTCATTTATTATACAGAAATCCACCCGCACTATACCACATCTATCTCAACTCTACTTCAACCCAAGTATAGGTATATGTCAAAAACATCACCACTAATCTTTCACTTCCGTTTTACGTCAAGTGGCGAAGTAATACTCTGCGAAAAACGCGATATTCGCGATGATATGCAGTAGTCGTGAAACATGTTTTTCACTAGTGTTTTTCATATCACTAGGGTGGTGAAACTTCATAGCAGGGTACAGCAATAAACCCTTACACAACCCCACAATACCATCACCTTCATCACCCACCAACTCGTAATCCTTTCCCCCTGTTCCCAACGAGCTGCTATCCGTCACCCTTGATGACATACTCCTCACTGGAGACCTACGGCAAGATACTATTCAGTTGATGAGAGCTAAAATAAACGTAATATAACAATAAAATTTTTTTATACTCGATCATAATCTGTCGAATTGAAGTGATTCGCGACGATACGACCGTGAAAGCAAATCTACAGTAACATATATAACATGTTAATGTTTTTCCGTACATATACCAGGCCTCAGCCGCTCATCTCGTAGCCTCTGCTGAGTTCGCAGCCATACTCCTATACTGACTACTATTTGTCTGGTAAAAGGAGCACTGCTAAAAAAATTCACCAATTTTACGTCAAGTGGCGAAGTAATCGAAAAAACGCGGTGATATGCAGTAGTCGTGAAATATATTTTTCATATCACCAGAGTGATAAAACTCCAATAAACGAATATATAAAATTCTCCCAATATTATATCAGCATCCTCATAAACTATCTCTACTTACCCTCCCGCTTCGATCGACATATCCAACAACACCGCCAAGGCGATCACCATACCGCCGAAAATTGTACTCAAAAACGTCAACTTCAGAAGGGCCAGGCCGAGACCAACACCATTTAGCAACATAGTCGATGTAGGATCGACTACATCCAGTGGTATCGCTAGAAGCACATATGATGACCTCGAAAAGAAGTATGATAACTGTGCTACGACCACCGAGGGTAGTAGACGCACTAAATGAGGGAATTTCACCTGAATGAAAAAAAGCCAATCCGAGGGGCGAAATATGCACATGGTCAACCACATGTGTCGACGACAATACGAAAATTCTGGGAGGAAATTTTGGAAAATTTTTACGCCTAATCTGTATATGAGCTCCGATAATCAGTGAGTAAACTCCTGAGCTCAGCTGAGGGAAGCGAACAGAAAATCCAAAACGGGTGAGGAAATATGCACATGGTTAGTAACAATGTGAAAATTTGGCGAAAATTTCCTAAAATTCTTGTTGGATTCTCGACAACACTAGCGACAACTACTACTACTACTACTACTACTACTACTACTACTACTACTACTACTACTACTACTACTACTACTACTACTACTACTACCACTACTACTACTACTACTACTACTACTACTACTACTACTACTACTACTACTACCACTACTACTACTACTACTACTACTACTACTACTACCACTACTACTACTACCTTCCTCTCACTAGAGTGAACTCCTGCATTTCTATTCCCACTGTTATTTTCATCAACTACTTCGTCAATTTTTCCCACGGCTTGAGTACCAGCCCGCCTCTCAGGAATGATGCTCAGCTCTATACTCTTCAGCATAGCCCTTCGCCATCGATCCGCTTCAATTTCCCTCAAAAATATAAATGTCAATTTATCAAACTCCACTACGGAGGAGTTCTGCTGCTCATCGCGCTTCACAATTTTCCTCCTCGGATCCAGACTGTCACTAAACGCAGTATCAACAGTGCTAGCAGCATCATCTGAGGCTCTTCGGGTCGTATTCACGAACGATTGTCGGACGAATTCGCCCTCAACGTTATGCAAACGTTTTAAGACGACTCTGAACAGGAGGAGGAGGCATATAATTTCGAGAGAGGAAGGGTATGGAAAATAACCGATTTACTACTTGTATCCTCGCGAACCAGTCCATAAGAAGTGATCCGAAGAAAGCGCACTGATAGTGTACTGGCGTAAATCCAGCCGATATCGCTCACTGAAATCACTATGGTACAGTTCGGTAAATTCCAGCCTGACGAGGAAACAAAACATAGTGGAAATTCCCACTCCCATTATCATCATTTTATAACAAATAGAACTAAAATAACTATGTACAATTTGCAGTACTGCAATGGAGTTTCACCACCCTAGTGATATGAAAAACACCAGTGGAAAACATATTTCACGACTACTGCATATCACCGGGAATATCGCGTTTTTCACCGAGTTTTACGCCACTTCACGTAAAACGGGTTGTGAAACTCCAACGCCTTCAATTTCGACAACGATGAATCAAAGCGGCAATTTGAGATTTCTCGCCAGACGACGAGTTAAAAGAGTAACTCCTCTAATAAAAACTGGGATAGACTTTCACCGATACATCAAAATTTATTATTTTATATTCATTTCGATTTATTCACTAGATAGATTTCATTGGAGTTTTACGTGAAGTGGCGTAATACTCTGTGAAAAAACGCGATTTTCGCGGTGACATGCGATAGTGTTTTGTCAAACGTGTTTTTACTAGTGTTTTTCGTGTCGCTAGGATGAAACTCCTTTTTTCACTCTACAAAATCACCTAGTTCTTCATAGACTTCCAATCCAATTCAATTTTATTCATAGATTCAATTGATTCCAAAAAAAATTTAATTTTCACAGTCGGTCTACTCAACACTCCCAGTGAGGGGGGGAGGGGATGATGCATATGGTCAATCCCATATGTCGGTGACAATATGAAAATTCTGAGGAAATTTTGGGGAATTCTTGTCGATTTTTGTGCAAGTTTCTACCCAAATTCGTATATAATCTCCTATAATTAGTGAGGTAACTTTTAAGCTCAGCTGAGGAAAGCAAACATATATTCCTCCAACACTGCTGACTTGTATTAGAGCATACGCCTACTACCAGCCGTCCGTTTTAATGGTGACAAACTTGTCAACCGATTTTCGCCGTATTCGCAGTGAAGTCGGTCCGGAGAGTACCACTCCCTTGCGAGGATCAACGGGGAGCATTGACCCTAAGGAGTGTTTTCGAATGCTAATTCGCTTGTCGTCGATCGATCGAGGCGGCATCGGTCAAAAACAGATACTGCAACAACACAGATAGATGCGTAAAAAATAACACGAGTATGGAGTATTGGCATCCTTGTAAAACAACAGACAATACATCGCGGTTTCACCCTAGTGATATGACAAATACTAGTGAAAAACGTATTTCATCGTGTTTTTCACCACTCTGCATAACACGGGTGAAGCTCCATTGTTTCCGTACATATACCAGGGCTCGGCTGCTCATCTCGTAGCCTCTGCTGAGTTCGCATTCATGCTCCTATACGGACTACTATTTGCCTGGTAAAATGAGTACTGCTGTTATATGAGAAGAATGTGGCGCACCAGGAGGTGATCTTCTATATACCTCAGCGTTGAGCATGAATCCACTACTAATAAACCACTGATACAATGCGGCAAGTCTCCGATAGCTTTGTCCATCTACAATGTAGATTCTACATCCTACATAAGCCTGATAAATGACGATGCTAGCATTACTCTGTACTTCACAGCATCGAAAACAAATAATAAGGAATAACCATACAGACACTGAAGGGGCGATGAGCTACTTGAAATAGGGCACTTGATGACGGTATGTTCATACCACTTTCAGGTGAGTAAAGAAAGCAACACTTGCCTCTTCCAATTCCATCTCGTATCATACGAGTCGGGCCATGAGCACTTTATTATTGAATGAGCATCACCACAATGGTAGCTTTAGATAATGCTACAAAGCCACCTTCACGGTTGACTGCAAAATTCATCTTCGGCGTAGTCTAACAGGTCAGGACATTCGCACCGCTCATTGAACAAGCGAAAGATCCAGGTTCAAATCCTGGCGCCGAACATATTCCATTCGTATTCGAGCGCGCGTTGCATCATGCATTGTCGAAGAACACAGCGCCAACTCTACTTTTTCCGCGAATGTCTCAAGGACTGGCAAAGAGGACATCACCTACTTGGATGGAACTCCCAGTAGCAACACTATTTCAGCATTCGGCGTAGTTTAACAGGTTAGAACGCTCGCACCATTCTTCAAACAAGCCAGAGATCCAGGTTCTAGTCTTGGCGTTGGACAATTGCAGTTGTAAATGAGTTCATACTCACCTTTCACAACATCTTTTTAATAACCCTGATAGCTTGTACGCATTCTCTCCACATTTCGCCTGTAATCTATGATGTCTGTGTGCTAGCAAGAGTCTCAGTTTCGACTTCAGCCGAGCCTTTCCACGGGGTTTGTTTCTGTTCTACTTGTTCGAATAATTCGAACCAACGAGATACACCTCTGTTCTCCCCTTCCTTTGCTTTGCCCTTTCCAAAACTGTAACTAGAATCACACTGAGATCGACTCCTGATCGTCAGAGGTGGTGAAGTTTACTCAATTAACGCTAGCTCTAGCCTTGTAATTAAGCGATCATGCGAATGGTAGAATATGAGCAACTCGTCGCTTCCACGATCAGTAACCAGTTCGAAGCGACAGGTAAGTACTCGACGATGAATCCAACACTAACCGCCTGTCCAATAGATCGATTTTCAACTTTCAAAATCGCGTTTATTGAACACGACTTCAGGAACGATTCCGGAAATCGATTTCGAGAGTCGATTCCAGCATCGCACACAGCCTCGTCTGTCGAACGAGCGGCAAGGCAAGAGGTCAGGAGAATTTGATAATTCCCATGATTGCTACAGGGTGAACCACTCAAGCCAACGATAGAGAAGCTCACCGTCGGCATGCGAACAACCCGATCGACCAATCGTTATCCACCATTGCATCGGTCCCTACATTCTTAGTCTTGAAATCAGATTTACTGTGTTCTGTTACCGTACACCCCTTCAGGACTTAACTCCCGTGCAAAAATGAGGTTTTGTACCGTTGAGTGTCGCCATTGCCAACACTCGTCGCTCTTCCAACAGTGACTATCCCCCCACCGACTGGTTAACTCAATTCCCACAATGTCATGAAAGTTTTATGACAAAGTTTATTTATAAGTTTAATGCGGATGATAAAACAGCATTGGTGGAATAGAATCGTAAATAGTTGTACTTCGGGCATAACCAGACTACAGTGGCACACCTCATGACGAGTCGTTGTTAATACAACAAATTCTCGTCAACTCTACTCTCGAGTAGAAAAGAGCTTTCCCCTACAGCTATGGTACACTGGACCGCCAACACACTACTCAGGACATCCGAAAGAAGGCGGAGCGGAGTTTTCATTATCCTTCCCACTCAAAAAACTCAAGACCAATAGAACCAGCAACTGACTGTGGATGCAGTTGTTATTGACAGTGTGGTATTAACTTACGTTATGATGGCCTCAGCCACCAACAGTATATCATTGAAACGACTCGAGTGTACTTCAATAGAAATATTAATACATATGCATATTCATGCCTTCGGATTTTCCTCGAGGCCATCTTACCTTCTCATAGTTGTTCTTGAGATACATATAACAGTGAAGATACCTAAGCCGAACACTTTATCATCCAACCCAACCTCTTCCTCATCTACATGCTGATCAGCTCCTGCAATTCGTTTTTCAAGTTGAAGTACTGCAGAGCGTCATGGCGAGCCACAAAACTGACAGCACAGTAGTAGGTAAAGGAAATCATCCAGTTCTCGGCCGGGAACTCGTCTCGAAATTTCCACATGGCTAGGACCACATTCTGCAATCAGTTTCCCCATAGGAATATTTCCCCCATTGTTATCAAACCCTGGGGGGGGCGCGTTATCTCTCAAAGTTGAACGCTTCCCTAACTAGATGGTCATCCTATTCTGAGCTCACCTGAGGAGGTCTCCAAGCTGAGGAACATTCACGACGGATTTGGTGGCTTTGGACTTAGTCGTCTAAGAAAAAAACGACCACTATGGAAAAAAGGTCAACTACTACATAATACAAATTATGAGGAAACTTTGAAAGATCCTCACTGGCTTCGGTACACTTTACCCGAATTTGCGTGGAAACTTCTGCGGTAAACAAACCACTGAGAGAACGTGCACATGGTCAACTACATGTGTTGGTGAAAAATTTTAAACTGAGAAAATCCAGGGATAATTTTTTTTGTATCTTTCTACCTAAACTCAAATGATGTACACTCCTATAACTAGTGAGAGAACTCTTGCATTCAGGTGGAAATACAATGGATTTTCACAACCCGTTTTACGCGAAGTGGCATTAAACGCGATATTCGCGGTGATATGCAGTAGTCGTGAAATATATTTCTCACTAGGTTTTTTCATATCACTAGGGTGGTGAAACTCCGATATATACTCCAACACTACTGACCACATTCCCTACTATTCCAAAAGTCCGCTCACTTTGCCCTCTTTTTCGCATACAGTTTCTCTTTCCTCCACAGCTCTCTCAAACTCCATCTGCCGAATAACTAATAACAACAACAACTTACAATTTCGCGCGCCACAAAATTGCCCTACTCTCAGCTCGAGCCTGATGATAGACCTTATTCTCGTCTTGAGTGTCATCACACCATTTCAGATATTCACCCAATCTGGACAGTAGTGAAAACTCCTATGGCGAATTTGTGGTATTACTTTGCATTGAACTGAGCCTGGACTTCAACACCGAAATTGTTACCATCCTCTTCTCGTGGTACGTGCATAAGGATATAACGCTGAAGTCGAGAGAGCCTGTTAAAAACACCATCTAGATTCACTACTACTATTACTGCTACTACTACTATTGTTGGTACTACTACTATTACTACTGCTATTACTACTACTACTACCACTACTACTACTACTACTACTACTACTACTACTACTACTACTACTATTACTACTGCTATTACTACTACTATTACTACTACTACTACTTCATTCATTCATTGAGCGCTTCAGTCCAACTAAGGGACAAGCGCGCTCCGAATAATAGTAAATTTATGCCATTTCCCTCTGTCCATGGCTTTCTCCCTGATGTTTCTCCATCTTCCTCCACGATCCTCTACATCCTGTTTGACAAGCTTCAACCACTTCGAATCAGATTCAATCTCTGATTCTATCCATTCTCTTTGAACCGCATCCCTAGGTTGCCGCAGAGCATGACCAAACCAACGTAAACGTCTTTGATTCATAATCTCCTTAACGGTAGAGCCTTCCAACCAGTCCAGTATTTCAGCCTCACCCACTTTCCAATCGAACTCACCATCAACATCACCATTATTCGACTGGTTAGTGTTCCGACCCCACCTTATGATATTGCTAACCAATTTGTTGCAGCACCTTTGCAACCTTTCCGCATCGTTCTTGACCTACACCCAGGTTTCGCAATTGTATAGAAGAACACTCATTACGCAGCTCTTGAAAATACGTTTTTTGGTCATGGCGAGAATTCCCCTAGCCTTCCAGATGTTTTTCAGATCGTTGAACACAGCAACCGCCCTTCCAATTCTCCGGTTTATTTCCCTGGTTAGTTTCATTTTCGTTGTGAGCAAGGTACCCAAATACACCATTGACCCTACACATTTCAATTTCTGACAGAAATTTTCTGTCCCTCGACTAGTTGAATACAGACTTCCTCAACCTCTTCCTCTACTACCCCTCTCCTGTACTTCCCGACCATTCTACTCTTTCTCAATGCTCTTTGCCTCTCGATAGTGAGATCTGTATAACTAGCACACTGACCTAATCTAACATGCGTTTTTAGGGCTCTTTCACAATGAAAGGTACTCCCACAGGAAGGACACACCCACTTCTCTATTGAATCCAGTGCTCGATCGAAACCAAGTTTCATCATCCTCAACTTATCCCCGTCCTCATCCACTATCCACCCCGCCTTCTTGACAATATACTTTATAGTGCTACCGTCATCATAAATAATTTCATGCGTGGGATGGAACGAAGCATTCACATTCTCATCCTCTAGAGGCCTAAGCCATCCCTCATACGTACCGTCATCCCATTTCACCCCCACTCTTTCCTCACGCCTCTCAATCAGAGCAACTTTGCTACTATCCATACCTTTCACCATGGCCACTGTCTTCCCAGCATTTATCAAGAGTCCGACATAATAGGCAGCTGCTTGCAGTTCCTGCAGAAATATCTCCACGTCTCTTACGGATTCCCCGGCAATATACAAATCATCAGCATAACCGAGCCATTCCACAACCAAACCTCTTTCCTGGCATGCTTTCAGTGCCGCTTTCAAACAATGATCTAATACCAATATGAATATCACAGGAGACAAGCAAGAGCCCTGACGAACCCCTACTCGCTGGCTGAAAACATCAGAGACCTTACCATCTTGTGACACCCTTATAGCAACTTTTGCATCCGCATAAATCCTTTTTACTAAATTCACCAGGAAAACTGGCATTCCAGCCGACTTCAAGACTTTCCATGAAGCTTCCCTTTGTAGCGAAACTCCCGCTCGGTAACACAACTGTCCGGGACAGTCTGTCCCATCTCCTCCGGCACCCCACGTTGATACGTGGATAGTAACACAATCGCTGTCCCCTTATGAGGAAATCCCTCATGAAGGGATTGGACGATCGATTTCCGCTATTGTGTCGCTCTGTCTCTTTAACTTCTCTCAACCTTAACTCACTAATCTTCTACTAACTACTACTTCCACTACAACCCTATGTCTAGTACTCAGTCGTCAATTAACGGGGAAGGAGCTGCGACCATTACTACACCATGACAAAGAATCGAAGGCTTTCTGGAAGTCTACAAAGACTGATGCGATCTGGTTTGTACTCTCCCATTTCTTCCACAGTAGACGGACGGGATCTCTACAGCTCTTACCAGACGTGAAACCGAACTGATATTTCATTAATCGTTTCTCAGCAGCTTCCTTGATCCTATCTAATACAATTGCTGATATGATTCTTTCCAAATACGATAAAAGCGATATTCCTCGATAACCCTCAGGTGATTTCTTACTCCCTTTTCCTTTAAATAGAGTGATCAATACAGCTGTATGACTCTCCTCGGGCAACGGCTGTCCTCTCCAGAACCCTCTGATCACTACGCCCAACACCTTGCGACATTCCTCCGAATGCTTGAATAACTCAGAGGGAATCTCATCAATACCAACGGCTTTACCATTTCTCATTCGCTTACATACTTTCTCAATTTCTTCATCATCCGGAGCTGCAATAGACACCTCCCACGGCTCTCCTTCTACCTCGGCCAACTCCTTAGCAATGTGAAAGTCCCTTCTCTTCTCATATTCCTCGTTCCTTTCTATCTTCTGTTCACCCAATAATTCATTGAAGTGTTCTACAAATCTATCGACATCCATTCCTGTCAGATCCACACCCTTATTCGCTTTGCCTCCCAGCATTTTGACTATGGGGAATAATTCTTTTAGATTATTAATCCTAGCTGCTGCTTCAGCTTTTTCTGCCGAGTAGTAGCTATTAGTAGCTACTACTACTGCCGAGTAGTAGTAGTAGCTTTTTACTACTACTACTACTACTACTACTACTACTACTACTACTACTACTACTACTACTACTACTACTACTGCTACTATTACCGCTACACCTACTACTACTATTACTGCTACAACTACTACTACTATTACTACTACTATTACTACTACTATTACTGCTACAACTACTACTACTACTACTACTACTACTACTACTACTACTACTACTACTACTACTACTATTACTACTACTACTACTATTACTGCTACTATTACTGCTACAACTACTACTACTATTACTACAAAAACAACTGTGAGTATTCGAGCGAGAACGACATAACGATGGAAGAGCACACGACGACCCGACCTCTTCCTCTAGCCCGATGAAACGTCGCTGTCTTCAAGTATTACTTATCACTAGCCTTATCAAACTCCTTAGTAACGATCCTGTTCACTTCAACTACTACAGGGTTCGGTTTACCCGACAATATTCCCTCTGCTGAACACTCCTGATCACAGAGTGATATAACACTAGAAGGGATAACAACCCATTTAACGTTGCGAATATACAGCGAACACGAATGAGAGCAGTGGACATAGTATGGTCCTAGGGCTTCACATATCTACAATTCGACACTTACGCAGTCGTGACTGAAAATTGTCGAATCAAGTGGAAGAGAGTACTTCTGAGTGGCTCTGTAATTTTCGATAAGACTAATACAATTTTTTTGTCGAGTTTCAAGTGCGCGACTTGGATTTATGGGTAATCAAGCACGGAGAGCTCAATGGTGAAAGAATTAATTCGAAATTCGTCAAAATAAAAGGAAAAAGTGCCCGTCCAGTTCGCGCGTTTCTAGATGGCGCGCACTGTACGTTAAACGAAAATCAGCACTTACCTTCTTAGCAAAGGCATCCTCCAGTTCCACGATGTCCTCAGTCCTAGTGAAGATCTTCGGCAGACGCTCCTCCAAGTCCAGTATTAAACCGGGAAACTCTTGAATGATACTTTCGCCCACTGAAAAACAACAAACCGATGCACTCTATACTACTTCTATGATGATATGCGATACTAGGCTTACATAAACTTTTTTCCGGAGGGGGGACTCACCACAGAAAAAAAATCTTTTTTTCCTGATATTTTTCAAGTTAAAAATCGGCGATTCGAAACATCGCAGATTGTTCACAAACTATGATAATTTCACGCGATCCTATGTAAACTATTTTTCAGAGGGGGTTGATTGCGAAAAACGGTTTTTTTTAATTTTTTCATCAGAATTTTTCGACGTGCTGTACATAGAAAAGCATCATCCTCGCAGATCGTTCACAGAGTGGATACCATAATGGTGATATGCAATAAAATATAAACTGTTTTTCAGATAGCATTTACTACAAAAAATCTGTTTTTCTGATAATTTCAACGATTTCCATCCTCACAGAATATTCACGAACTGTGACTGAATGACAGCATAGACGCGTGTCACCACTACCCGAATCAAATCGTTGCATGAGCTCGTCGAGTTTCTCCTGCGTACGAGCAGCATCCTCCTTATTAATCTTCATCTCGCTAGATATACGTCTTTTCTTACTTACAGATTGATCCACCATAGAAACGAAGATAGCAACAAGAAATGCTGTAGGTTTTCCCGAAATATGCAGCAGTAGCAAATTTACATAAAACTCTGATAAAAAGGAAACTCTGAGAATTTCGCTCTCATTTGTTTTTCTGTCAATGGGTAGATCACACCAAATTGGAGAAGAAAATTTTCCGAAATTTTTTGCACGAGCAGTTCAAAAAATT